GGGATCAAACTCAGGTCTCCCGCTTTGTAGGCAGATGCTTTACCGTCTGAGCTACCAGGGAAGCCCATATTTGTAGTCTAGACACATAAAATATACTTCATTAAAGATAACAATAAAATAAACCAATAAAACTTGCTTATATTAGTATCAGCTGATATTAATTCTACATAAAAAGCAATAATCACATAGTATTTCTGGGACTTCCTTCATCCTGTATATTCTACCAAATGTATTCTCACTTCACTGCCACTATCACAGTGCTACTTCCATCAAGATTTAACTCAAATATTGTTTTTCTGTGGAATTTTCCTGGGCCAACATTTTGTCAATGTTGACAAAAACATTCATAATTCCTACAGAACTCTAATCAAACCTTAAGTACAGTATCTATTCTACTATATCTTGTACCTAGTTTTTAAATCATCTGACAGCTAAGTAATTTGACAACTTAGACTGTAAGCTCCCAATGGGCAAGGCCCATTATCTGCCACCATGAGACACAGAGCCAGCCACACGGAGCAGTGACACAGTAAAAGAATCTGCGAGGAACATGAATTCTAAAGTGACAGAACAACAAACACTCACAATAAAACAATTTGCATGTTTGTAGGACCAGGAGGAAAAAAAATTTCTAATAAGGAATTAAAGTAAAAAGAAGACATAATCTATTATCACATATATCATAATTTTCATTGTTCAATCAGATGCAGGAGGCAAACTCTGAAACACATGGAGCCTCTCTCTTTAAAGTTTTTTTAGTTAAATCATTGTCTTTTAAAAACGTTAATGATTCTGTAAACTAGGATTTATCTTCCTGAGATGTTTTATATTTCAATATTAAAGTCCTCAAAAGCAGATCTAGAAATGCAGTTCTGTCATTTAAAGAAACAGTTTTCAGTCTATTAGGCAGAAATGTCTTAATGGTACCTCATTCTCAACTTAATGAATTTCACATATATATCTTGAAACACGGTAACAACTAAGATTCAATATAAGATTCTGTATGGAAAACAAAGGTTCAGATTTTTCTAAATTTAAAATTTCATCCTAAATTTGCTTACATTTACCATATACACAGTTTAACAAGAAACAACAATTATACATTCCCTAAACTAGCAATAATTAACAATATCCAAAATGCAAAACGACCTCACATATGTACTTACGTCTAAACAGTAGTCTCCTTTTCTTTGACTTCACTCACCCAATTTGTGGGAATTTCTTCTGAATTCTATATGGTTCATAGAATTAATATAGTTCAGGATTTTCCTGCAGGCTGTCAATTCAATTCAGTTCAGTCACTCAGTCATGTCCGACTCTTTGCAACCCCATGGACTGAAGCACGCCAGGCTTCCCTGTCCATCACTTACTCCTGGAGCTTGCCCAAACTCATGTCCATTAAGTCAGTGATGCCATTCATTATAGCATTCTGCATGCTATAGCTTGTTCAAACTCTATTTCCCAGTGATATCTCTATATTTCATATCAAAGCACTCTTTAAGTATTTTCCCTACTTTGCAGGGATAAATACAATATTTATTGATACGAACTGAATCACACAATCTCTGGTCTACAGACCTTTATGTTGCACTCTGGTATTCTACTGTACTGTAAGCAAAATGAAACATCAAATCCAGTTTCAGCATGAAAACAGAATATGTAATCTCCTTCAGTGACTTATCCTTTAAACACCATCTTCTGTGGATCTCTATCAAAATACAATTCCCTGCACAGATTGCCCTGCAAGCATGTCACCTGTGCAGCCAAGTTTAGAAAGGCCTCCTCACTTGGTTTAATGCTTTGATACTGCCATTAAGAAATTCTTATCAATTTCTGAACAAGGGACACGCCTTAACAATTTTTCACTGGACAAATTATGGAGCCAGTCCTGTCCCTGAGAGTCACAGCACATTAAATCATAGTCTAAGTTGGTCTTTAGAATGACTTTTCTTAAAGTCAGTAAAGAACTATATGATCAGGAATTATGATCTATATGAACTATATGATCAGAACTATATGATCAGGCACCAAATGTCTATCTTGGGAAGGTAATAATAAGGGGAGGAAAGCAAACCTAAGGGAAAGCTCCATGCACAAATTAGTTTATTGCTTTGATTTAATAATTATTATCTTCTAAGTGCCATGTAATGTTCCAAAGACTGAGATCATAGCAATGAACAATACGGACAAGTTCCCAGACTTCATGGAGTTTCCACTTAAGTTAGGGGACAGACAACCAGGTCTGTCTGTGGTGGGTAGGGCAGAAAAGGAAAATGTTTTGGTAAAGGATTTAACATATCTCTTTTAGAGATATCCTATGACATCCCTTATATGTGGAATCTAAAAAGAAATGATACAAATGAACTTACTTACAAAACAGAGACAGACTTAGAAAATGAACTTATGGTTGCCAGGGGAGGGGAAGGGACAGTTAGGGATTTGGGGAAGGCCATTTGGGGAAGTTACACACTGCTATATTAAAAATGGATAACCAGCAAGGAACTATTGTATAGCACATTAAACACTACTCACTGTTATGTTCCAACCTGGATGGGAGGGGACTTTGGGGGAGAATTGATACATATATATGTATGACTGAGGCCCTTCACTGCTCACCTGAAATTACCACAACATTGTTAATTGGCTATACTTCAATAAAAAAAATGTTTAAAACAAACAAACAAAAATATTGATAATACCAAAGGTATTATCACCTTTGGTGACCAGACAAAATGATAATGGTTAAACAAACTTTATTACAACTACATTTGTATTACTAAGAGGTAATTTTGAGTGTTTTCTACTTCTCTGATCATCTTTTAGCATTTTCCTGGAAAAATTTTTGGAAATTTCATAAATTAATGCTGGTCATTTATAATACATAGTTTCAAACAGGCCATATTATTAGGTTATATAAAAATGAGTGTTAGGACTCATTTGGTGAATAATTATATAATGCCCTTGTCTCCTCTCCATTTTCTCCTCCCTTTTCTCTCTAAATTTAATTGTATATAGACTGTGCTCTGTTTGGATAAGAACACTGATTCTTTGCATATGAGTTTGTGTCACCAGTTCCAAAAAAGAAACAAGCAAAAACCAGGCAAACAAACAAAGCAATGGTCATGATTGAATGTAGACCACTTGAAAACTGTCTCTCATAAATAAGGACAAATTCCACAGATCTCACAAAATTGTTGTTACTCTTTAGGAATTATCATATATTGGGCATCCCCTATCATGTTGATGTAGGCATTCAATGGCTATTTGCTGATTGAATAAATACATAAATGAATGATGACTGAGTATGTCATCATTTTATATACCCTAAAATTAGTCCATCTCCTAGGGATAGCACTAATTTTGAATAAAGTAGTTATTGTTGTGGTTTTTGTTTGTTACCTTGTAAAGAACATCTTTCCAAACACAAGTACCATTCATCACCCTAGAATGGAATATTCCTTAGAAATGATCTAGAATGACGAAAAGCAAGCACATTTGGTCACCCTGAAGTATGGACTATATCCCTTAAGAAGTAAAGTAAATTTAGCGTGTATTGCAATTTGGAATCATGAAAAGACACAAAATCACAAGTCCATCTGTTAACACACAACAATCAAAATTCTGCCTGACTGGAAAGAAGACATTGACTATTTTGATTCCTTCAAAACAGAGTATGTTTGCAATCTACATTTGTGCTCTTTGTTTTCAACACATATTACTCACCCTCAGATTATATGAAAATTAAAACTCAATCTAGTAACAAGCTGTCAAAACAAATAAAGCTACACTGGAGTTCTCCAAATGCATACTCATTGCAGTTCATAAAATCCCAGGGCTTCAAAACATCCTAAGAATCAAGCTAATATGTCCTCCATACCAAAGCCCTGCAATTTTCCTCACCTAAGGATGTTCATTTGATTGAGAGAAAATTGATAACATATTTTCGGTATTAGTAGAAGAAATTTCACTCCAACATATTTTTATATTTAGTCATTCTTTTTTTTTTTAGATTTTGACATTTTAATTTCTTTTGAATACAAGTCATTTTTTGCAAGCTAGGAGGCAGATCAAGCTAAGGCGGTTAGTTCAGTCCTCTGAGAGCCAGGCCAATTCTTAAAATCTTCAGCAGAATGTCACTAACACAAGGTGCTAACAACAGGGCTATAAACTATAAATAATAACCATTCATCTACATTTTTTCCTTAGGAAACAACCAAAAGTCTAGTCCATAAAGGTATGATATAAGAACATCTTGATCTACACAGGACAGAATGATCCAAATTATATGCTAATTATATGCTGGCCAACCTATCAGTGAGCCAGATCAGAGCTGGTCAAGGATTGGTGTACAGAGAAAAGTGTTTACATTTTGAAAATTTGCTTTGAGGTTTAAAAAATTTCTGGTTGTATTTAGTCATTCTTATTGTGAAGAGATACTAACATAAGGGTCTACAAACAGTCACATCTGATTACAATTTTAACATGTTTATCTTTTTTATCTTGGTGGAAAATATATTTCTTATATAACTTATATTTTAATACTCAAATTATCTCTTGGTATTTTATTCTTAGGAATAAATAGTTTCTGTTTGTTTCAATTTTATGAAAATTGTCCCAATTCTTTCAACATTTGGTATTTAACTTTATCAATGAATATAATTATAGACTTAACAAAGAGTTCCTAGTTAATAATTTAAAACCTGGTACCATCTAATCCAGAAGTCTGTATCTATTATAGCCCACACTATTAATTTTACGTGCACTATTTCTGTAAAACCTCATGTAAATATAAACAAAACTTCATGTAAATCTAAATCTAATCAAATTCAAATTCTTTTAACATGATATTTATTGGGCATTCAGAATGTTAGGATTTTGGTTTAAGGAAACTTTGAAAATAAAAATGTTCTTAGCTTGACTGTAGACTATTTTGTATATTCAACATTAAAAAAACAGGTTCTCAATGTGAACATCTTTTAAATCATAAATATACTTCTTACCTGTGCTGCTGGATATATTAACATCAATACTGATATCAGATATTCCGCCTCCCTTCAGAGATGCTACACATGTGTATGTCCCAAAATCCGTGAATTTTAAATCAATGATGTCCAAGTTGGTCGTTCCCGGGGAGACATCCGGATCAGTCTGCGTAATAACCATCCGCTCAGAACTTCTTAATGGACGACCATTTTTAAACCAACTAAATGTTAACTCCTCGGAAGGAACAGCTTCTACTTGGCAAGATATTTTCACCTCACGCCCAATCTGGATGTTGTCATCTTTGTGATAAGGATCTGGTGTGATCCAAAATCGTCCTTTTTTTAATGCTAAAACATAAAAATTCCATAAGTAATTAGAGTTACTTTCATAATGTTAGGGATTAATTCACTATATATAGGTAGTCATCTCTGGTCTGAAATAAAGTAAAACAAAATAAAATAAAATGTATATATGTTTCTTCAATTTCCAAGTAGTGTGCATATTAATAAAACTTTTTTAGGTAATTTAGAAACAATCTAAATAACTAAATTACTTACAGACTCTAAAATGGATTTTTATAAATTGGACAATATTTTCCAGTAATATAAAAATGCTTTAAATCTATATATGATACTTAAACATTGTTGCCATTGAATTTTGAACAAATGATGAAATATGTTAAAGAACTTTAGGTATTAGAATGAAAAATAATTACCTGGATCATTAAGCCCAATTTCTTACCTATGTCGTACCTATTATGGCACCATTTTTCAAATAACTCAAATACAGTGAAAATTTCATAATAAAGAAAATTTTAAAGTTCTGTTCACACGCTGACCAAAACTAGTTTAGTAAGATTCAGTTACTCCACATCACTTCATATTCATGAGGCACTTTCATATTGAAGGAAAATGTTTTTTCAAAAAAATTGCTATGATAGCTCTGTTCCACCATACATAGATGTCTGCAGTAGAAACCATTCACTGGCTATCTCATGCAGATGGCCAAAAGAACCTCTTGGCAGATGGCTTGCAAAACATGCTGTGTTTGTATCCTAACAGCAGTGCCTTCTGGGTCTAAGGTCATTGCTGTTCTTACAGCCTGTGTCAGTAATCATGACTACCCGAAACTTCCAGAAGAGCACACCCTATTGCTTTTCTTAAGGGCTTCAGTGCCGAACTTTGATCCTGTGGTATTCAGCTTGTAATACAGCTTGTTTTTTTTATTAATTGCAATAATACTCTTATGTACACATTTTTCTCTTTTCTAATACCCTATCCATGCCCCTCTCCAACATCATCATGCCTACACGATGAAATGGAGCATATGCACTGAAACATAATTATCAGAATAAAATAGTGTTCATTCTCTTTTACCATTATACCTAAATACATGATGACACTGGCAAAAATGTGAATTTAGAGGACCTGCAGATATTGGAGGCCTACTAATTGTATCCTGGGTAGACTTTCCTGAGTTTAACTTGATTTTCCTCAGCTCAAAAAAGGCCAGGAAATACTATGGATTTGGAACTATTTGAGAATACACTAGAAATTAATTCATTTTTAAATCTTAAAGAGATATTTTAATTTTCTTTACTTTTCAGCCTCAAGTATTTTGGTCTGCTTTCTTGTTTGTATATTAATAAGAAGAGATAAATGAATATCACAAAAGGTTTTTGTATGTCTTTTTTTTATTCAAGAAATATTTATGGGGCTCGTATTCAGAACTAGGCACTGGCAAGATCCTTATAATATGAGGTGAACAAAACAGACATAATTTTGATCATTACATATGGCAAATTGTGTATTCATAATTTATAGTTCAATCTATCTAACCTGTACATATGATACTTATGTCTAAAAAGATATGAAATGTTTAATGAGTTTAAAGAAGTCTGAACCACAGAGGAGAAACCTCCAAAATATTATTTAGAAAATGCACAAGTCTTCAGTCTTAACAAAATCACCAGAAGACAAATATTTAAGTCAGGTTCTTATATTGCTGTTTGTTACATCTTCCAAATGCAACTGATGAACCTTATTTATTCCAACCATAACTTTATCAGTATATGGCTCTAGGATGGAATCAGGAGAAATTATGTAATTCATTATGTAGAGTCACATATATATATTTTAATAAGGAACTGAAGCATGTGACTTTACATTACATCTAGAAAGGGAAATGTGTTAAAAAATCTCCACATCTGGCTACTTACATTTGATATGAAATACTCTGCACATATAATTCAAATATAGTTGAAGTTCTACAGCACAAACAAAACCATAAGATCACAGAATGTCATTTTCTTATATTTAATAGACCTAAAACATAGTATGTCAAGGGGCATTTACTTTCATTAGCACTCGCAACATTTAAACCAAAGTTTCCTTTCTTTGGTAAGAATTTTCCTTATCCTGTTTCTATAGAGAAATAATAAACCTACATTTAAAAAGATGAAACAGATAATACATAATTTTCAAAGATAAAAAATTATATACATGTTAATAAGTTCATATGGAGGTACATTTCGGATAAATTCCACTCCAAAGTTTTAAATTGGTTATCATATACAACCACCACAAAAAAACCCTGATGTTTCAATGATTAAAATTTATTGATGAGGTAGCTATTATTTTCTAGCTCTGTTCTCTGTACAGTGACATATTAAAGGGATACTGATGTTGAGAGGACTGCAAACTCCTCAGACAAATAAGATTTAAACTACTAAACAATTCAAAAGCCACTGATAAAAAAACCAAGATATCAATATCTATATTATACATCCTGGACTGTTTTATTCATGAGAGAGAACTTTTAAAACTCAAAGTAAAAATATTAAAGATTATAAATTTAATAATCAATTCATAAATAAAATTAAATATGATGTGTGATTATATTTTTAATAGAAAGCAATATGACCAAGTAGACTTTAAGACTGAACTCCTTGCCACAAATATTTGTTGATTTCAGTATCAGACAATTCTACTATTTGGCCAAAGTCAATCATATTAGTCTCTCAAATGATAGACTCTGAGAGGGACAAGAGGGACAAGCCAGTGTGGCAATGAGCAAATGGTGAGGAACATCAGAACAAGTAGCGTGGGTCAACTGACTGGGGAGCTAGCTCTTTGAGTCTGTTTTATATTACATCTTAACAAAATAAACTGGTTTTACATACAGAACAGAAATGTTCTAAAGGAAATAAAAAGTGTGTGTGTGTGTGTCTGTATGTGTGTAGTCATCTGACAAATTGACTTAATTTTCTAACTTACTTTAGGTGCTCAGAAAACTAACAGCATAGCTCTGTTAACTAGGCACAGGTGCATTAAGAACTTGAAACCCCATCCCAGTTTTTCATTTCTATGTGGTCCAGTATGGGCAATCTAATTTTTACGGGTCAAGTGCATCATTTATAAAAATAGGAGGTGATAGTATTAGACTCCCTCTGAGACCCATTGTGAGAAATAGCTTATTAACAATAGTGTAGATCTTTGAAAATATAAAGTGTTTAATATAGTTAATCAACTGAGAAACAGGTTTCTTCATTTATAATTAAACACTCTTTTTCAGTGAACAATTTATAGTAGTTCATGCAATGTTAATTTAAAGTCATTTCCTGCTACCAGTTAAGATTTCAAATACTTAAAATCAATCTGCGATTAGTACCAGAATATAACAGGGCTACAATAGACATAACAAGACTCTGTAGAACTAAAGAAACTCTATGGAGAAGGAGAGGAGAAATCCCTTTCCCCAAATGCAATTTCATAGCCTGAATATAGAAAATCCCCTAACACCAGCTTCAGAGAACATTAGATTTAGCTTAATGTATCACAAATTGTGATGGATGAACCTCAAAAGGTACTTGTTTAGTCTGGCAATGCATGTAAAAGAACTGGCATCAAGCTGAGCCTCTGTTCTGGATAATCAGCTTAGAAACACTGCAATATAACCCACAGCCCCCTTTCATAACATTGTATTCAGTGAGAACTGAATACAATTGGCCCACATTCACTTTCCAGATATTACTTGCCAGGACATTCCAGTTGCACTCACTGAAGCCCTCAACTTTGAGATTTACAAAGGTACTTTCTGAATAGAATGAAACCAGTGTATAAATGAAAGCCCACTGCAAAGATCTGGGTATGGCTTGCTGCTGACCTTGTCCTAGAGAGAAAAGTGGATTTTTGCTTGTGGATGACTAAAGTTCCAAGGTAGACTTCAATTATTTAAAATTAGATTACTTCTTGAGTTTATCCTTGAGCTAAAGACCAGTGGCTTTGGAGAAGTCTAGGCTCATGACTTCCAGGAATACAATATGCATATAAAGACAATGGGGGCACTGTGGGATTATATCTTGTCTAGAGTCATATATTTAAAATGATAAAATGCACTAATTGTTTGTCATATTTTCCAAGAATTATACAATGCATATTAGTACACATTAAAATAAAATTTGTACTTGAACAAAAAAGAACATTAAATAACATTTTTAAAATGTTTTAAATATTAATGAGAAAGCATCTCTTTGGAGAGAAGAAATATCAGGTATCAACTTCTGAACATCTTCTAAGAATCTGTTTCAGAAGGATGCTAAGACACAGATTGACCATTGACCATCATTCCAAGTAGATAAACTAGCTAAAAACCTCTAAATACCTCACTTCTTATCATCTCAGTAGGATTCTAGTCAACATGAAACACTGACAAATGTTGCTAAGAAGAATGGATCTAGAGATAATTAATAGTGTAATCAGATAAATAAAAATTGATCTTCTATTCATGTAATCTCTGTAAAGGATAATGAATATATTTGAGTGAAAAAAGTACTTGCTAGTCCCACAGGATGCTAGCTAAATAAAGAACTGGAAACATTACATCAGCAAAGAAAGAAAGTGAAAGTGAAGTTGAGTGACTTTTACGACCCTGTGGACTGTAGCCTACCAGGCTCCTCAGTCCATGGGATTCTCCAGGCAAGAATACTGGAGTGGATTACCATTTCCTTCTCCAGGGGATCTTCCCAGTCCAGGGATTGAACCCAGGTCTCCCGCATTAGAGGCAGACGCTTTAACCTCTGAGCCACCAGGGAAGCCCAAAGCAATCTGCCATAGTAAATGAGAGTAGATACAATCTGTCTCTGGGATTTCCCAGGTGGCGCTAGTGGTAAAGAACCCATCTGCTGATGCAGGAGATGTAGAAGATGGGGGTTCAATCCCTGGGTTGGGAAGATTCCCCTAGAGGAGAGTATGGCAACCCACTCCAGTATTCTTGCCTGCAGAATCCCATGGACAGAGGAACCTGGTGGGCTACAGTTCATATGGTAGCAAAGAGTCAGACATGACTG